TCCAAAGGAATTATTTATGCCTTAATTCCAAATGCCCAAAATAAATACCTATGAGCTCTTAAAAATATTGGTTTGATTTTTATCTCTGTCCAATATTTTCAGAGAGCAACACGAGCATTTTCTTGGACCCTTTTGGAGAAATTTTTGTTTAGGTCATTTTCAAAAATGATTCTGAGGGTTCCACCAATCCTCATTTCAAATTTAAATGGAATATAAATATGACGCACAAATGACTAGCTAGTCTAGGTCATACCAGAACTAGGGATGTGACATTCAGGCATCCGAGATCGATGGATCCGACGTAGAACTCGTCAAAGATAGCCATGATCTCTGGCTTAATCACATTCTAGAAGCTCTGGAAGAACTTCACTGGAAGACCATCCGGGCCAGGGGCCAAGGATGGGTTTTTTTAAGGCGTCTGTGAAGCGTCGCTTAGGCGACGCCTTAGCATCGGGGCACCCTCCGATGGCAAGGCATCGAACCTGCCTTACACATCGTCGTAAAGCATCCGCTTTAGATCCTAGGGCATCTGAATCGTCTGCCTAGGCGCGTAGGGCGGCGCCTTGGGCCAGATCGGACGCCATGGGCTGCTTCCAGGCCGGAAAGAGTGGCCCACGCGGGAAGCTTTCGCGGGCTTTCGCTGGAAATATTGGGCTCGCGCGCGAGTGCGAACAGGTATAAGGCGAAGGGCGGGACAGAGAGGATCGAACCAATCGTCCAATCCACCCGATAGGGTTTCCTTCTCTCCTCTCTGACCTTTGGCGGCGGCTCCTTCCTCTACAGCTCCGATTTGTGCCCCTCCTCGCCGGGCTCAGCTCTCCCTCCAACTCTGGCGCAACAGCAAGGTGTGGCTCCCGTTCTCATCTCACTTCTACCCCGGCCTCCTCTGAATTTTCTTCTACCCCTCCTAGTACTCTATTTCTTCTTGCATTGTAGGTAGATCTGTAGATGTGCTTGGCTGCTTGCCTGCTCCTCATCTGCATCTCTTTGCTCCCAAATCTGCTTCTCCATCCACAAGGCAGCACCCCCACCATCACTTCTCTCCTTCCCCATGCTTGTCTGCTTGCTCTAGTGATTTGGCTCTTCTCTCTTTGACGGTTGATTGGGTCTTTTCTCAATGTTGCTGCAGCAGCGAGGTGTCCCTGCTCTGATGGATCCTAGGAGAAGAGCTACATCATATGATCCAATTTGGAAGTATGGGTTCTGGCCAGATTTAGAGAGGAAAGATTTACTTTAGTGTACATTGTGTGGCAAGATAGTCCATGCTGGAGTGAGAAGGCTGAAGCAGCACCTTTCTGGGGGTTGTAGTGATGCAGATATGTGTCCGAGGCATCTATGGAGATTAGGATAGAGATGCGCAAATCCTTAAACACTAGAAAGTTTAAAGCTATGGAGCGATATATTGATGAGAAGGATGAAGCTGAAGTTGAAAGGAGCCGTTCTGTTGCTAGATCCCAGCCCTAGAACGCACGCGATCACAATGGATTGCAAGTGGAAATTCTGATTTGTCGCTCGTATCTGAAACTCTCCCCGACGAACACGGGAACACACATGGGACAGGAGTATTTTGCGACGCCTCAAAGCTTGCGTCTTTTCTGCTCTTTCCTCTTATTCCAGGTTCACCTCGACGTAGCGAGCGTGACCGAATCCTACGCTGTCCACGATCCACTAAATCCGCGCCATCTCGCGGAGTTGATCGTGTCCAGATTACAACAGAAAGGAAAAAAACAAATGGATCAGGCCTCTAGTGAACACATCACGTATCTGGCTTATTACTACTGCTACGACACAACCAACGTGTCTGAACTATGTTTCAGAAAATAAAACAAACTAAAATGACAACTGGATTAATTGCTAACATTCTCTCCCTTAATCTTGTTGTCATCAGGTCACTTCCTTCACACCAATGACACTCCTCAGCTCCTGAAACTTTGCCCTCCCGAGCGACTTGGTCAGGATGTCTGCCAATTGATCCTCTGTTCTGACATGACTGATGTCCACTTTCCCCGCCTCCACACACTCCCGCACGAAATGATATCTGAGGTCAATGTGTTTACTGCGGTCATGAAAAACTGGGTTCTTACTGAGTGAAATAGCAGATTGATTGTCCACTTTCAGTTTCACTTTGGCTGGCTCTGAATCTAGTATCTCTGCCAGCAATCTTGCCAACCAAATACTCTGACAAGCACCTGAAGTAGCTGCCATATATTCAGCCTCACAAGACGAGATGGCAACCACTTTTTGCTTCTGTGATACCCATGAAATTGGACTTGAACCAAGGTAGAACAACAGACCTGAGGTGCTTTTCCTGTCGTCCAGATCTCCTGCATGGTCACTATCACAGTAGCCAACTAGCTGCAGTTCTCTTCCCTTCTCATAGAAACACCCAAACTTCAGTGTTCCCCTGATGTATCTGAGGATGTGTTTCACTGCAGTCATATGCTCTGCTGTTGGTCGCTCCATGTACCTGCTTACAAGACCAACAGAGTAGCACAGGTCAGGCCTTGTGTGTAGCAGATATCTGAGACTGCCCACCACGCTTCGATAGTAAGTGCAATCAACTGCTGGGGCCTTGCTCATCTTGCTCAACTTCAGACGGGGCTCCATTGGAGTTTGACCAGGGTTGCAGTCTTTCATTCCACATTTCTCCAAAATTCTTGATGCATACGCGGATTGGTTCAGATAAATACCTTGAGGAGTTTGCTTTACCTCAATTACCAGGTAGTAACTCAGTAGCCCGAGATCGCTCATACTGAATAATGATTTCATCTGAACCTTGAAGGCTTCAATGTCATCAATATTTCTTCTGGTAATGACTAAATCATCCACGTACACACCGACTAACAGTGCTGCACCTTTTTTGTTTCGCTTGTAGAGAGCTGGCTCTGATGGACACTTCTCAAAACCGAGACTGATCAGTGTCCCATCTAGTTTAGCATTCCATGCCCTAGGTGCCTGTCTGAGCCCATATAAGGCCTTGTGCAGCTTAAGCACCTTGTGCTCCTCTCCCTCAATAATGAAACTTGACGGCTGTGCAACATATACCTCTTCCTCGAGTTCACCGTTGAGAAATGCGGATTTTACATCCATGTGGTGAATTTCCCAGCCCTCATTTGCTGCTAGTGCTAGAAGCAGTCTCACGGTTTCCATCCTTGCAACAGGTGCGAAAACTTTGTCAAAATCAATTCCTTGACGCTGCACGTACCCCTTCGCAACTAGCCGAGCTTTGTGTTTCACCACATTTCCAGATGAGTCCTTCTTAAGCTTATAGACCCATTTTAACCCAATTGGGTTTTTGTCCTTTCGTCAACTCACACATCTTCCATGTATTATTACTGACAATAGAATCCATCTCTCCCTTCATAGCTCTCTGCCAACATGCTTGTTTCTCAGCTTCAGCAAATGTACTTGGCTCCCCGGTGCCAAGCAAGAAGAGCCCGGAATAGGGCATGTCAATCTCCGATGAATCATCATAGATGTCATTCAGAGACCTTTTTCCTTGTGGACCTTCAGATGGTTCAGTCCAAGGACTTTCAAGTGTGTCCATGGGTACCGGTGTTTGCTGCACCGGTGTACCAATCGAGGGTGTGGACTCCTCAGTGTCTCTGGCTCGACATGTCCTCACTTCAGTCTGAGGTGTTGTGGGTGTTACTGCCACTTCACCTGTCTCAGTGATAGGACTCGCTTCAACGTCTGCACCCCGTGCCGGATAATGAACAGTGAACGTGGCTTCCTTGCTGCTAGCAGCGGCTGCACCTTCTTGCCAATCCCAGCACCTTTCCTCTTCAAAGACCACGTCTCGAGACACAACAAGCTTCCTCTTTGATGGATCATACAAACGGTAAGCTTTTGACCCCTGTTCGTACCCGATAAAAACCATCTGTGAACTTCTGTCAGAGAGCTTCTTTATTCCTGGACCGATGCGCTTCACATGAGCTACGCATCCAAACGTGCGCAGGTGTTGCACATTCGGTTTCCTTCCGTGCCAGGCTTGATAGGGCGTCATTCCACGCATGCTCTTGGTCAGAGATCGATTCAATAGGTAGACTGCAGTAGCAACAGCCTCCCCCCAGAATTTTGCAGGCATACCCATGCTTTTTAGCAAACTCCTAGCCATCCCGACCACTGTCTGATTCCTCCTCTCCACTACACCATTTTGCTGTGGTGTATATGGTGCTGTGAGATAGTGTTTGATTCCTCGATCTTCACAGTAGCTGGCAAAAGAATTTGAGGTGAACTCCCCACCATGATCAGTTCTTATGGCTGCAAGTTTCAGATTCCTTTCTGTCTCTGCTGCGGCCTGAATTTTCCTGAGTGCACCGAGAGCTTCATCCTTCGTACTGAGCAGGGCCACCCACATGAAACGTGAGTAGTCATCAACAAGGAGCAAAAAGTATCGCTTCCCTCCGGGTGTAGCTGGTTCGATAGGCCCACATAGATCACCATGAACAAGCTGCAGCTGTTGAGTTGCACGGTAGCCTGTCTGAGCAGGAAAAGGAAGGCGACGCTATTTTGCAACCATACAACCATCACACACCTGCTCAACTTGCTCCAAGGTTGGCATTCCTTCAACCATGCCTTCTGTTGCAAGTGTCTTGAGAGAACGGAAGTTGACATGCCCGTATCTCATGTGCCATAGCCAGGATGTTTCCTTCGCGTGAGCCAACAGGCAAACAGGTTCAGTTTTCTGAATATTCAGGATATACATCCGGTTCCTAGTTCTCTTCACTCGAGCCAAGACCTTCCTGTCACGATAGGGACTGATACATAAGATAATCTCCCATGCACATTCTAATTGCCTACCTTGTCAGAATCGTCTCTGTTTCACCTAGGGACTGATACATCTGAGGCTAGAGGTGGCGCTAAAGAGCTCACATTTCCCATGCTACCAAAATTTGCTGGACTTGTTACAACAAAGTTATGCTCTATGTTGAGGTCTGCAGTCATGGCACCTTCCAATACTTTTACCACCTCAGACATTTTAGGCCTTTTTTTTGCAATCAATCTGCAAGCACCACATTGCAAGCATCATCATCTGAATCACATCTTGCTTGTGTGCTTGCATGTCGTTGATGTTATTATCAATCAAATCTACCAACCGATCACTCTTTACCTTTTCCTCCAATAGGGTGATGAGATGGATACTCTCTTCTGACCGTGAAGTGTCGAGGTTCTTTCTTCCACTGATGATTTCCATGACCACGACACCGAAGCTGTAGATATCGGCCTTTTCCGTGATCTGTGATGTCAACCATTCAGGAGCTAAATATCCAGGTGTGCCCCTCATTCTGGTAACAACTTGGCTCATATCCCTGTCTATGAGTTTGCATAGTACAAAATCAGGAAGTTTAGCATTGAAGTCATCATCTAAGAGGATGTTTTGTGGTTTGACATCCAAATGAGCAATTCGTTTTGTGCACTCCTCGTGAAGATAAGAGAGTCCCTTAGCTATATGAGTTATAATCTTGCACCGCGTGCTCCAATCCAGAGGAGAAGCCTCATTGTCATGTCGACAATAGATCCATCTGTCCAAGGATCCTTTGGGCATGTACTCATATACCAAGAGCCTGTGGGATTTCTCTGCACAGAAAGCAATCAATCTCACCAGATTAATGTGATGAATCCTGCCAATTGTCCGAACCTCTGCCGAAAATTCTCTTTTGCCCTGACCGGTTCGATCCAAACGTTTTACCGCAATCCTTTCATCAGCAAATTGTCCCTTGAAAACAGACCCAAATCCTCCTTCCCCGAGTTTGTCTTTGAACTGCTCAGTTGCTTCTTTTAGCTGTTGAAATGTGAACCCCATTGGTGTTCCTTGTAGCTCCCCAAACTCTTCCTCTTCTTCCATCTCATTCTGTTGTTGTGTTCTCCTTTTACATATAAAGGTGACGAGGAACAAGATGGTGAGCAAAATGAAGCCGCCTATGGGAGCTAGGATTGCAACAACTCTTCTTACATGGGAGGATTTCGGTTTCATGCTTGTTGGTCCAATAGCTGCAGGCAGAGTACTTGGGGTCGGAGGTGTTACCTCGGTCAGGGGTGCAGGCACGGGATTTTCAGGTGTAGGTGATAATGCTTGATTAATCAGGGGACAAAAGACGACCTGGTAGTTGGTGCCATGGACTGTTACAACCCCCCGGCACAATCAGCTCGTCTGGGCACTGATATGTGATGTTGGCTGCGCACCTTGGCCCCCTGCTGCATCCTGACCTTCCCAGAACCAGCACCGGCAGGAAGTCCATGGGCACGTTGATTACTGTTTTAAATAGCCCGCTATAGCTCCGTTATAGCACGCTATAGCGTTTACAAAGGGAGAATACTATTACCCGCTACCGCCCCCATGAAAACCACTTCCAATTGTCATCGTGCTCCGAAGGCACCAATTAGGCTAATGCCACTGGCTCCGAAGGCAACATGCATATGTAGGAGAAATTGTATATAGTTATACATGTGTGTATGTTTGAATTAATTAATATGGTGGTTTGTGAGACATTGATGATATATATATATATATGCATAATTGGTTCTACTAGAAATTC